GAAGCAAATTCTTCATCACTATTCCTCTGAAGATGTCCTCAGGACTGCAACAAAGAAAGTATTGTACTACTTGTTGATATTTTTAAAATCTAAAGCATAGTATCACTTCCACAATTACTAATAATGCCTTCCTCAAACAAATACTTCATTAGCTATATCTCTTGGGTGTGTATAAAGAATCTGTAAAAATAAAATGTCTGGAAACTGGTAAAAAATAAAGGAGAATCTAGAAATCAGAAATTTAGAACAAAATTCAAGGATAGCGAAGATCCTAGAAAAATTAATAGGTGCTTTGTATTGCTTGTCACACATTTCTTAGGTAAAAAATACTTTTCCTCTTTCTGGAAAATGAAGTACAAGTTGTCAGTGACAACCATCTATTAAGAAATTTCCTTTTGTGATACAGTGAGGATTTCCCCTCCCCCCAACCCCAGGTAAATTATTCAACACAGTTGATTTGAATCGTGTTTAAGCCTATGATGAATTTATCAATTTTTATCATCTTCCCTTTGTCTGTTCTGATATTATCAATGCCTGAGGTTCCAGTACCCATAGCAACAGTCACTGTGTCCCCCAAGCAACTGGGCGTGGCCAAAGTTTCAGAGTAGAATTTTTTCAGGCTTGGGAAACCAACTCACAATCCACTCCAACTATTGAACATTAATTTATCAAGAGGTTGGGAAATCTATGAGGATTTCCAGGGCAGAAAGAGGGGACATATTTACAAGAAGGTTCTTACCCCTTTTGAGAGCTATACTGTAGTGGAGGACAATAACATGAGAGACTTCAAGAAATGTTTTTGAACCCACCTAGTAGCACCATGGGAAACAGTTTGGTTGTCTACTCACTCATTCACTCACTCAGTCACTGCCATCGAGTAGATTCTGACTCATAGTGACCCTATAGGACAGGCTAGAACTGCCCATCTCGGTTTCTGAGACTTTAGCCTTTATGGGAGTAAATAGCCTCATCTTTATTGTGTACTATAAAGTCAATTCCAACTCCTGATGGGTCCATATGACAAAACAGAACTACTTTCCTGGGTATCCTAGTCGTGGGTATGCATTGGACTGTGATCCACAAGGTCAGCGGTTCAAAACCACCACTTGCTCTGAAGGAAAAAGATGGGGTTTTCTGCTGTCCTAAAGAGTTACAGCCTCAGAAACCCACAGGGGCGGTTCTACCATTTCTTATAGGGTCACTATGAGTCAGCAGGGACTCAATTACAGTGAATTTGGTTGAATCTTTACCAAAACAAATTGGTAGGTCTTTTCTTCAGCAGAGCTGCTAGTGGGTTTGAACCATCCACCTTTTGGGTAGCGGCCATGACCTTAATCAATGACTGCACTACCAGGGCCCCCTTCCATAAAGATCACAGCCAAGAAAACCCAATGAAGTAGTTTTACTCATAACACACAAGGTGATATTACCATTAGTCATAAAATGATTCAAGGGCAACAGTTTTCATTTTGATTTTTGGAGAGAGTCCCAATGGGCAAAGTGAAGACATTAGAAAAAGTATAACTGAGGTAAACAAGCAGCCATCTAGCTCAGAAGCAACAAAGCCCACATGGAAGAAGCACACCAGCCTGCATGATCACCAGGTGTCGAAGGGATCAGGTATCAGGCATCAAAGAACAAAAGGTTATATCATTGTGAATGAGGGGGAGTGCAAGGTGGAGACCTTGTAGGCGATTGGACATCCCCTTATTGGAAGGGTCTCGGGGAGGAAACGAGCCAGTCAGGGTACAGTGTAGCAACGATGAAACATACAACTTTCCTCTAGTTCCTAAA